TCCATTGATATATACTCTGATGTATACAGCTGACAATATGATACGTGGACATGTCAAACATGAAAATTACACTTTCACATTCATTGGAGTGACTTGGAAATACCCATTTTACATCTCGAGCAACCATATTGTGTGACATTTATTTCACAACCTATAATACTACTTTGTGATTTACAGTCTCCGGTCAACGTTTTGTAATTCGTTGAATTACAAGTCAGACACCTCAAAAAGGTGTTACATGTTGAACATGATATATCACATTTGAAACAATCCAAACCATTTCTATAATAATTGTCATTACATTTTACACATCCACCAGTCGACAAAAGTTGTGTACATATTCCAATTAAATTATTATTTGTGTAGCACACGTTGTTTGATAAGTAAAATCCTGTTTGACACGAAAGACAATAAGTTGAATTCATAACACATGTTTGACAATTTTTATTTAAAAAATAAATGCACAAAACGATTTTTTGGTATAAAAAATAAAAAATAATCCAATTATGAAATTTATATATTATTTGTTTTTATTTATTTTTTCGGGAAAATCACCTAATAATATTTCAAAATTATTTAAACAGTTTTGGGACAATTTTTTAAAAAACTGTTAAAAAAAGCAGTATTGGGTTGTTGGCGAGTTAATGTATTATTTTTATTATAATAGATAAAACTATAATACAATCTAATAAAATACCAATTGATATATAACTAAATATTACAATAAATTGATTTTTGTTTATTTAACCAAATTTGACAATGTATTTAATCAAATTTAGATAATTATCTTTTTAATTTTACTAATCTAGTCATTACATATAAGAATGAAACTATGTCAGGAATATACAATCTTGACGAAGAAGTTGAAGTGATTGTGTAAATTTAACATGTAAAAATTGTGGTTACAATGTAAATTAATTATTTTGAAATCAACAATAAATTAATATATATTTATTTTCAAATATTTTAACAAAATTTTATTTGTTATCATTTTAATTATTATACTTTTATTGTAAAAAAAATAATTTACATAAAAGGTTTAAAACATATTATTTTGTCATATAAATTAAAAAAATTAAACAACAATAATGTTAAGAAATCGATAATTTATCGATGTTAATATTGTTTATTCAACCTTTTAAAGCTAGATTTGATAAACTCAATACCAAATCTTCAATATTCAATCTTTTTGATTGTTCATGTTCCCAACATCTTTGAATAATTTCATAAGAGTTATCACTCA